ATAAAAATTCCTTTATGACTTGTTCATTAGTTTCGATGATAAATTAGTACTGGCTCATGCCAGGAAATTAAACCCGTCAATAGTTTGCTTGTAAGCAATTTTTGAATCAGAGGGCCTGTGCGTGTTAATGCAGCAACAAGATTCTGCGTACCCCTCGTACTACAGCTTCCAAAAAAATGAATCGAACGCCAGGATCGCTAAAAAGCAGACCACCAGATGATGCAGCATTGGTCAAAGCAATAGGAGACATAGTCACAATACAGTTTTCCATCCTGCCTCGCTTGTTTCACTGCCTTTCCCCCCACTCCCCTCCCCCTTCTAACCTCTAAAAACCTTCGCCGCGCAGCTAATTCTCTCTGATCCTTGTTTTAGCGCTTTTACCAATAGCAGTTGCACGCTTATTATAGTTAACGAACATGGCTGCTAATACTAATTCTAAACTAAAACGAATTTTACAGCTCAATGTCTCATTTTCTGATCACGAAATACAGCCTATGGAAATGAAGCTAAAGATTATTTAACAGTTGCGTTCGAAAACATACATTTTTGTCAATTTTTAATCCTCCCATAGTGTAATGAATTGCTGGTGTAATAATGGCCACATAAAACGGCGGATGTTCCAAAGCGACCGGGAACACTTTTTTCCCGAACTTATCTTCCTAAAACACATATCAAAACATTCTGCACCAAAAGCTTATGAGACAGCAAAACTTTTGAATATGTTGCGGAAAACTCGTAAAAAGCCGGCAACTGCTGAAAAGGTTTGTCGCAGGGAATCTGAGGCGACGTGCTACTCACTACGTCACCGTCCCATACGCTCCATATCAAAAAAAAATTTGCTGGAAAAGTCGGAAATGTTGAAAGGGTGTGCTGTACGAGGTGCAGCAGCCGGACGTATCGTGGCGCCATACATCCAAAACATAGGTACTTCAGCAAAAATTTTTTTTTGATATGGAAAATGTGGGTCGGTGGCGTAGTGAGTAGCATGCCGCGCGCAGATGTGGAGGAGACTGGTTTTTGGCCTGTAACAACTCTCCAAAAGTGATTCTGTTCAT